GCAGTTGATGAGGAACTGCTGCGGGCTGGGAAGGCAAGCCACTCTTCCAACTCCAGGGGGTCTCCGTCACTGGGCCCCTAGACTTTTGTAAGTTTTACCTCTAGAAGCTCTACCAGGTTCAGAGACTATTGGCCAGGTCTTTGGCTTTTGGTTGGGGGAAGGGAAAAGCATTTTTCTCAGGAATACAACATTCAGAACAAGGTCTGGTTCTCAAGAGAAACTTTTATTTCACTTTCACTTTTCACTTTATTATCAGGCTAATGGGGGAAAAGCTTGATAACACAACAATTTCTTTTTTACTGAAAAAAATAATCTTTTTCTGCAATGTAAATGGTGCCTGTAAGTGGTTTGGAAAAATGACTTTAAAAATAAAAGATGAGAACATCAGGCACACAGAACAACATACCAGACCAACAGAAGAGAGGTCAACAAAGCTCACTGCTTTTTCAAAACCAATAAAAACTACAAAAATAATTTGTGAAGTCTGGGAATGTAGTTCAGTGGTAGAGTACAAGGGTCTCTGGTTTCAATCCCCAGCAGCCCTCGCCCTACAATAACCCCTTCCCTGTGGACTTTATTTAAAAAGAACAACTTCTCCTATAGGAGAGCATCCAACCTCTCAGAAACCATAAAAGTAAAATATTTAACGTGTTGAGAGAAAAATCCCACCAACCTAGAATTCTGCACCCTTTAAAATTAGCCTTCAAAAGATGAATTAGAGATTCTGAGACAAACATCACATAATGAACATGCCTTGCAGGAAAAGTTACCAGAGAAGGAAATGTTGTAGAGGAAGAGCATCTGAGAACGGGAAGGGAAAGTTAAAACAAAACAAAACTTCAATTTTTCTTAACTGATCTAACATGTGTTTGTTCAAAACAATGATAGTGACAGTTTGTATGCGTGTCGGGATCACCAGCAGGGATAAGGATGGGGAGGCAGGAATTAGGACCCTTCGGACAGTAAGGTGTCTGAACTAGCTATGAAGCAGAATGGTGCCATCTGTGTAGACCTGGATGTTGCAAATGTATGCCAAAAACTCTAGTGCCACTTCTTTAAAAAGTGAAAATGAAATGAAATTGGTATGTTTATGAAGGAGAGAAAATGAAACCAAAAAACAAAACTAACACAGTAACAAGGAAGGAGAACAGGAGTCAACAGAAGCAGTAGTAAGTTCAGCTGATGCTAATTCAACATCACCACTTTGTATGTCAGTGACCTAGAAACACCAGGTAAGTGACACGAGCATCTGACAGAATAAAAAACAAGACCCAACTCTATGCTGTCCACAAGAAGTCTACTTTATACAGACAGATCCCTATTCACAGGGGATGCATTCCACCACCACCACCACCACCACCCCCACAGAGGACTTAAACTGCACACCACTCTTTCAATACTTAATTTTTCCTGTAATATATTCCTGCCTACAGTAAAGTTTAATTTATAAATTAGGTTAAGAAATTAACAATAACTAATAACAAAATATGGTAAATTCAATAATAAAATGGCATCACCCCTCTTGCACTTTGAATCCATTATTAAGCAAAAATAAAAGTAACAAGATGTACATACACTAAAATGCCACCAAGAAACTTACTATTTCATACACTAAAAATGTTGCAATACTACAAGTCCACTGATAACCAAGATAGCTACTAAGTGACTAACAATAGGCAGATAGGTTATAGTGTTGATTCATATCCCAAGAGGGCAGTGCAAGATCACATCAATTATTCAGAATGGCATACGTAACATTTAATGCTTAAGAAAGTGTTTATTCCTATAATTTTTCACTTAATATTTTTAGACTGTGATTGACCAAAACAGGGAAAATGAAACTAAGCAAAGTTAAGTCAAGGAAGGATGCGTACAGATTAAAAGTAGTGATGAAGATGCACCATGCTAACAGTAGAAAGACGCACCATCTAACATTAATCAAAAGAAAGTAGAACAAGGAAGATCACATGAAAACAGTCAGAAGCTAAAATTGTGAGGCTAGCATGGTGCTGTATGCCTATAATCACATTTAGGAGGCCGAGGCAGGAGAATCTCAAGTTCCAAGCCAGCCTAGGCTACAGAGTGAGATCATGTCAAAAACAAAAGAGAAAAAGAAAACAAAAGAAGGAATACTATATTAATTTCAAAGCAGTTGTCAGAGCAAGGGAAATCATTAGCTAGAAGGACGTCAGTCAAATGTGGTGGCTCATGCCTATAATCTTAGCACTTGGGATAGAGAGAGGCATTAGCATAAGGGTAAGCAGTTCAATCCAAGATATAAAAATCCTTAAGGAGTATTCACTGAATAGTAGAGCATTAAAATGTGTGAGGCACCGCTAGACATGGTGGTGCAAGCCTTTAATCTCAGCACTGGGGAGGCAGAGGCAGGCGGAGCTCTGCTCTCAAGGCCAGCCTGAACTATGTTACATAGCAAGTTCAAGACTAGCCTGGTCCTACATAGCAAGTTCCAGGTCGGCCAGGGCTACATGGTGAGACACTGCCCTTAAAAAGAAAAGTGAGGCAGAATCCAAGAACTACAGGAATAGATGAATCCACAATTACAGTTAAAAATGTAATACCCTTCTTAGGAAATGGACCCACACCACCAGGAAGAAAATCAAGGACTTAACAGTGGCTTCAACAGCACAGTCAGCTAGACACTAGGTGAACACCTGTGGCATTGTTGGGAGGTGGAAAAATCTTTAGGAAATCTCCTGCATGAGGGTCTTACTGTGCACCTCCCCTCTATGCATCCCTCTGTCCTCCCACCAGCAAGCTCATCACGTGACAGCCCTCCACCACCTCCATCTCCTTACCTCAAGAGGCCTGGAGTCACCAGGGCCTGACAGTATGACCTTTCCTGAGGACAAAGCTTTCTCTAGAAATTAAGTGGGGATAACTGTTTCTTATCTCTAAAGACTTAAAGAGAGGGTAACATAGCAAGAGAGAAAATTTTCAGACAATAACTACCTTACCTAAGCCAAATATCCCAGGGGGGAAAAAAGCTCTACCTTAATGCAATGGTTCATAAATTGAGAACTTCACCAGCATTCAGTCTAACCAGGCCTTCTCCCTGTGTGTGCCCAGGATGCTCCTCCTACTTCCAGAGAGCACTGCACCAGGAGGGGATGCTAGGCAGGTAGAAAGGGAATGAAACAGGCCATTTACAGCCAGCTGCTACCCAGGCACCATTTAGGACATAACACATACGTATCTACTTCAGTTTCCTCTGATAAAAATGGCACAATCAGTTGATAGCCAGTTAGATTCCTTCTGATGGAGACAGCAGGTACCTCCCATGTCTCGAGACGCCTTTGAGACATGCACACCAATGTGGTGACATCCTCTGACTCAAACACTATGGTGAATGGTCAGTAACCCCCTTTACAAATGGCTCGGACAGGGCTGGAGAGATGGCTCAACAGTTAAGAGCACTAGATGCTCTTGCAGATGACCTGGGTTGGATTCCCAGCACCCACATGGCAGCTAACCATCCATAACTCCAGTCCCAGGGGATCGGACACCCTCTTCTGACCTCCACGGGCATTGCATGGCATGGGCTCACATATAGGCAATACACTCACATATACACACACACAAACACACAAAATGGCTTCGTCAGTGTTTGATAAAACACTTTGATCAAGACAGCCCTCTCTTTCCAAGCTCAGGGATCATCGTGGAAGAGGGGAAGAGAAAGAGTGTAAGAGCCAAAGGTGTGGATGAATACAAGGAAGCTGTTGTCTGGACACAACAGGGCAGTTGTACATACAAATCCACAGCACTAGTGCCAGCATGCACAAGATCTATGTAAGCTCAAACCAGACAAAAACCCAGCACAGATAGAAGAGATGGGCAAGAAGCCCTAGCCCTAGGTGATAGCTGCTGGGGAGGGAGGATCAGTTTTCTTTAAGGGTGTGATGCCTGGTAGGTTGACCAGACTCCAAGGGATGGACCCACACTCAAGAGCATTTAGAGAACACAAATTAGACTGGATAGGGCTTTTTAAAAAAGAAAAATAATAGAGGACATGAAGTTGTGGGAAAGGTAGTAAGGTGAGGGTGCAGATAGGGAAGAGGGCCTGAACAGTCAAAATAGACTGTGTGAAATTCTCAAAGAATCAGTAAAAAAAATTTTTTTAAAGATAGTTTTCCTTGCCCAGGAAAGGTCAAGACCTACTACAGTAAGGTGAAAACCCTGTCTTACGACCTTCAGGACAGCCTGAAGTCATAGGTGAAAAACAGGATTCACATGAAGACAGAAGATGGGAACTGCTATCAGTTAATGAGGTATGTCCTCACACACCCCATCTCCTCCCTCCATTCAGATGCTTGCAGACCGTCAGTGCCCCGCAGCTTCCAGCACTCAGAGTTTTCTGCCTCTTTCTCCACCAGCTCTGGCTCTGGCTTTCTCATTCTCCAGACACATGCTCACCGACTGCTGCTGAGCCTGTTTGCTCTGACCTCTAGCTCCTAAAGCCTAATTTTCTTCTTCCTGCTTTCATCTCCTGGAAGTTGCCAGACCTTTGCTTTACTCACCACACTTTTTTTCCATCAAATGCCAATAAAACTGTCCCCAAGTTTCCATGAGTCTGTCTTTAAATTCTTGTATCAATAAACTACAAACCTGCAAAAGCAACTTAAGTTTTGTTTCAGGTGATGGCATCAGCTGAGGTCTCCAGAGACCCACAGCAGGGAGCCTGGTGCCCACCACTCAGCGGTATGAGGTAGCTGCACTCTACCACCAATGCAGGCAGAGGAGGCCTGCCATAGGGCAGGGAGAGTTAAAGAAGTCCCAGTTTCATTCTATAACAAAATGTCCAAGATACAGCCCAAATCACCCATTGCACCTGGAAGAGGAAAGTTCCACCTGAGAGAAAAAGTTGTCCTCTGACCTCCACATGCATGCTGTGGCACATGCACACCTGCACTCACACACAAGCACCAAACACACACACACACACACACACACGCACGCGCACTTGAAAAAGAAAATAATGATATATTCCACAGAATGAGAAATTTTTTGTAAATCGCACATCTGATAGGGGACTTAGATATAGAATACATAAAGAACAATTACAATTCTATAATAAAAACACAAATAATCCAATTTTTTAAATACACAAAGGATCTGAATAGACATTTCTCCCAAAACACATATGAACAGCCCATAAGCACATGAAAAGATGGTCAACATCATTAGTCATGAGGGCTAATGTGGTCATGTGGTCTCAAGTGAAGACCACAATGAGGCCCACTTCATTCACTCTAGGATGATGATTGCCTAAAGACAGAGTAATGCAGGCGAGGGTGGAGAGACCCTGGCACAGTGCTTGTTGGAACGTAAACTGGTTCAGCTGCTGTGGAAAACAGTCTGTAGTCCCTCAATGCAGTCAAGGTACTCAGCTTTGTAAAATGAAGCAGAAAACACTCATTTGGGGATGAATCAGTATATTCTATAATAATTACCTATAATTATTACAGCAATGATTTCTGTACATATGATCAATTGGGTCTAGTTCTGTCTCCCTAGTCACTTATTTTCAATAGTTTAAATGCATAAAGTACTAACTGTGTTTCTATGTGCATAAACAAAATTCCTATCACATTGACTGGTATATACCATGTGCTCAATAAATCAATGCTATAATTATTTATTTGCAAACAAAGAAGGTCAGAGGGAGAGAGAGAGAGAGAGGTCACGTGTGAGGGGCAGAGTCTCTCCCAAGTGCTGAGCAGCACCAAGCACTGGCTGGACCACGTCAGTCAGTGGTCAGGTGTGTGTTCTCTTTAAACCTGCCCACACAGAGCGCTTCATTCCCTGCATGGCTTTCACTTCTTGCCAGTCCAGTTTGATGTCTGGAACTTCGGGTTCAGGTTCTGGTTCCTTGCTCAAGGTACCCTGGGGAGAGGCGACCACAATGGGCAGAGGGCCACATTCCTCCCGGAATTCCACCACATGGAGACCCTTCTTGTTAGCCAGCTGTTGATGGGTTTCCTGGACAAGAGCAAATTGAGAATAGCAGGTTAGGTCTGTGAAGGATACAAGAATAAGGGCTTCCTTCAGCCAGGGGGAGGCCATCGTTCAGAACACTGGACAGCTTGGAAAAATGAGGTAACTATTTTGCTTGACTTCGGTAATGTGTGTGCCTAGATTAGGGTGATGGTCACACACGGATTTATCAGCCCAATCTCAACACACCAAACTGGAAGGGAGGAAGGGCTGTCTGACAGGGTCACGAGGCTACTCTCAGAGGACCCTGCAGTCACAAACCTCCTCCTCCACATGGAGTGCAAGGACTATGAGCCAGGTCCTGCTAGATGGCAACCCAGGGCTCCCACATTGGAGTAGAACTTGGCGTTCTTTGCTTCCACAGCTGCATCAGGCAACCAAAGCCACTGAAGAGTTAGGATAACTACCCTTTAAACAAATGTCTTGTGAACCTCTTTGAAGTTTTAAATTTTAGTGTTTTTAAAAGTCAGTAATTACAATTTGTTGTGTTAGAAAACACTTGTTCTAACTCCACTATGTGGAAAAGTTAAATAAAAGAGTACATGTCCTAGTTAAATCCTTTCAGTCAGACTTAGTGAAACACCTAGGGCCCCTCTCCACCCAAAGCATAGTTTTCATGGTACCCGCATAGGGGTTCACACTGACACCTGAGTTAGTAGGAACTATGACCATTAATAAGCAAAGTTAGTTCATGAGAGGTAGCAGCCCTAAGTTTTCATCTAGCTAGGCCTGGGCCTGGCTAATAGTCCCTGTAATCCACATGGAAATGGACATGCTGAGACCCTTCAATAGCATGGTCTGGAATACAAACTATCATTTCTGCCTCACAGCCCAGCAAGGGTTACCTGGCGGGCAAGTCCTTGGAAGAGGCCCTGGGTGAGGTTGATCAAGTTCATGGACCCAGAAACCCTGGCATACATGTCCTTGATGCCAATGAGCCGGCAGATGGTGATGATAGCCCTGTGGCAGCGGAGGCCATAACCTAGAAAGAAGAAAGACCAAAATGAAGCACCCACCCACTGGCCTGCCACAGATATCACCCACACTGCTGGCTTTCATGTGGTTCTGGCCTCTGTGTTTAGGGAGGTAATTTTGTGATTTCCTCACTTCCTGTGGGGTGACACTTAACAACACACTTAACTGTCAGGATGACATACTGCAGGACTCAAATTACACAACAAAAATCTCTTAAGTATAGTGGACAAAACAGGGCCATTAGGAAGACTAAAGGTGCCTGGACATTTTTTGTTTTGCTTCATTTTTGAGACAGGGTCTCACTATGTAGCCCTGGCTGGCTTGGAACTTACTATGTAGAACAAATTGGCCTCAAAATCATGTGAGATCCTGCTCCTGTTCCTCAAGTACTGGGATTACCAATGTGAGTCACCACACCCAGGTTGGGTTTGTAGGCTTTTTTCCCTTTACATTTGTTTATTTATTTGTTTGTTTATTTATTTATTGTGTTTGTCTGTGTACCATGTGTCATGGTGTACATGACCACTGCGAGAGTCAGTTCTGTCCTTCCACCAAAGGCTCTGGGGATCAAATTCAGGCTATCAATCTTGCACAAGTGCTTTTACACACCAAGTCACCTTACCAGCCCTATAATCTAACATTTTAATGCGCCAGACAAGTCCTCTTTTTTTTTTTTTTTTTTTTTTTTTTTTGCCAAAAAAAAAAAAAAAAAAAAAAAAAGAGGACGATAAATCTTTCACTGTGATATATCAAAATAA